TATATATATATATATATATATATATTGGTAACTATATTTTTTCACACATTTTGGTTCTTTGAGTCCAAAAGAATCACATTTTGGTTCATGATTCAATAGCAGAGGTAGGGGTGTTCATAAAAACCAGAAAAATCGAACCAAACCGACCAAAAAAACCAATACTTTTTAGGTTTGGTTTGGTTTTGGTTTTGAATTTTAAAAAGCGATCAAATTTGATTTGGTTTTGGTTTTAATCAAAAAATAACCGAAAAAACGATCCAAACCTACTATAGAAGTAGCTATTTAAATTTATTATTACACCTATATATATGTATATTGTTATATAAGGTTTCTAAAATTTTATGGTACATATTAGTCGTTTATATTTTTAGTCTAGTTTTTTGCTATTATAATAATCTAATTCTTTGCTTTTACATTCGAGTTTGATTGGTAGTTTTCTTTTGTTAAGTACAAGATTTTATTTTATGTTAAAAATAATTAATTTTTAATTGAGTACTTAAATTATTCATCACTAGTTGATTCAACTATCATCAATATATCTCGGTAAATGATAGATTTCTCAAAGAACAATTGGTTTGATAGTGGTACGTTGAAAATGTAGTTTCTGGAATATGTGTTTGGTAGTGTATGTCTTATATTTATGAAAAATCCTGATAAATAACCGAAAAAACCGAAAAACCGACCAAAATCGATAAAATCCGAATCGATAAAAAATCGACTTAATTGGTTTGATTTCAATATTTGAAGAACCGACTTACTTGGTTTGGTTTCTTTTTAGGGAAAAATCGATCCAAACTGAACCACGAACATCCCTAAGCAGAGGTATATTTGTTGCAAAAGTATAAGGGAGGTTAAATGTAGACAATATTTAAAAGTAGAAGGGTAAATTTGACATGTTTCCTTTTAATAATAGTATACATTTATACAAATATGTGCACACATACTTAACTGTGTGTATTCTTAATGCGAGACTTTTCCACATTCCCACAACATTAAAAAACTAATCCTTACAGTTTCCCATAAATTTCAAATTACTCATAACCCATGTTAGAGTTAGTCTTATTGAAGAAGGCAAAACACTTCGTTTCTTTGCATGAGCTTCGTAAAACATAATGAATTATGAAAGTAGTTGGATCTCTTATCACAAATCAGATGCTTTCATATGGGTAATCCAAGGTGAGTAGCACGCTTTCTTCTTCAATTGGAAAAAGAGTGAATTATTTCTAACGGATCCAAACTCATTCATGTCTAGCTAGTCACCAAGGCCATTCAATACAACACCTAGTTTGGACACAAGCATGTGCATGACGTTATTTTTATTTGTGCTAGGAAAAGCCTAATTATGTATTTATGTTTGACGATGGCCGACAACATGATGATTGATGGGTATAGAAAGAAGGCCTAATACATCGACAGCCCATTAAAATTTTTTTCACTTTTCACTTAAACACTTCATTTTAAGTATGTTCTATTTGAACACTTTATCCAGGTTTTTACTGTGTCATTTAGACACAAAAAGCTGACATTGCAAAGTAAGTGTTTCTTACGTTTTTTATGCACGTGAAATGATTCGAAAAACAAATGCCTCATACTTCACGCCGGGAAATAAATAACTTTTGCGGGAAAAATATTCCTCAGCAATTCAAAAGGAAGCAGAGATTAAAAAAATGTGCAATGTCCGTATCATTTCCTCTTTCAAGGCCATTGAGCTTCATGACAATGACATCAACGATTCAGCCTCAAATGGGTTCCAGATTTAATCCTTCATCAAAACAAAACAATACCCACTTTATAAATATTCAAAAACATAGATTTGAATTGACCCAACTCCTTCGACGGTTGACAATGGTGCTTCTAATCTAACCAGCTTAATATTTAATCAAAACACACCAAACTGTACGGGTAAGTTCATATTGATGTTAAGAGCAAACCCCAATATTCATTTAACTAAAACATCAACAAATCGAGGGTTTCAAATTTCGATTCTTAATTTCAAGTTCTTCTAATTTTCAATGGTAAATCTCCAGATTGAGTCACGATTTCGCCGTCATCACTTTTATCGGTAGACTTTCATCACTTTCAGTGGAACGACGACGACAACCACTTTTTTCGGGCCAAGCTTCGTCATCACGAGGTGGGGTTCGGAAGGGGCGCGGTTTGCAGAGGTTGCCGGTGGAACGACGGCGGAATATGCAGCTGTTTGTTGTTGTTGCCCATGTAGGCTCGTGAACCTCCTTGTGCTAACTGGGTATAATTTGTTGGCGGTACTTTGCCGTAAATACCTATCTCGGCTGATGAAGAAATGGCTTTTGGTGCGGTATGAAGAACGAAGCTTACTTGTAAGTTTTTTCTTTTTTTTTTTTTCCAGAAGTTTCTTTTTCATTTATTTAAGTTAAATTCATGTGTTCCCATTTTATTCGTCACTCTGACATGTGAATTACACGCATCTTTTATGTTGGTTGCCTATCAACTTTTTGTGTCTAAATGACACAGTATAAGCCTGAATAAAGTGTTCAAATGGAACATACTTAGGATGAAGTGTTTAAGTGAAAAGTGAAGACAACTTTAAGGGGCTGTCGATGTATTAGGCCCAGAAAGAAGTTAGTGAAAAGGTGAAGGAGTGAAGTCATGGAGATTATTAGGGATTTTATTTCAGTAAGGGTATGTTAAGGATTACTAAATGATTTAGAGATAAATTAGTAAATTAGTCAAACCAAAACTACTTATAAGCATATGCGGATCTAAAATTTCAAAAGGATAGGTGCACCACTACCTTTAACATAGACGTTCAATTTAATCATATGAAATTTGATGGTGACCACAACTAAACAAGCGATTACACTTAGTTTTTACTATTATTACATAACGATGAGACTAAAGATACAATTCAAGATAGCATAGATGAATTAGACCTCAAACAAAAATAAGAAAAGAATTTTTTTTCCTTTTTCGAATTTGTTGAACTAGTATAAAATTTATATTGTAAAAATTTAATCCTAAATGTAATTATAATTTATATTTAATATAAATTAGTCAGGTAAGAACTAGATTTTGCTTTATTTTATCATCCTCTGGTAATAACTACATGATGTTAATCCCAAATTTACTATAACGTTTCTTAAAAGATTATGAATGGAGTGATTTTTAAGAAAATTACAGGCAGACCCACATTTAAGCGTCTGAATCATGTCAAATCAATTTCAAATTGAACCAAATTTTGCAGACAAGTTTCAAATAGCGATACGGACCTATTCCAAGTTTCAACATCAAAATCTGAACCCGTTAACTAAGAAGTCAACTTACGGTCAAACTTAGCAAAATGAGTCAAAACAAGTTAGGCACTTTCGAATTCAATTTCGGTCATACGCCTAATTTCAAATCACGATACGGACCCACCGGGATCGTCAAAATACTGATCCGGGTCCATTTACTCAAATTATTGACCATAGTCAACTCAAATTATTTTAAGGCAAAAATTTATATTTTCTTCAATTTTTCACATAAAGGCTTTCCGGAATAAGACACGGACTGCGCAAATGCAAATCGAGAAACACTAAATGGAGCTAATCGAGGTATCGGAACACGGAAATAGAGGCTAAATATAAAAATGACCTATCGGGTCATCATATTCTCCACCTCTAAATATTCTTCCTCGAACGAACATAGAAAAGTACCTGGACTGGTGCAAAGGTGTAGGTGTCTAATCAGCATATCAGACTCGGACTCCCACGTAGCTGCTTCGATCGGCTGACCTCTCCATTGCACTCTAACTGAAGGATAACTCTTAGACCTCTACTTCCGGACCTGCCGGGCTAGAATGGCCACCGACTCCTTCTTATAAGTCAAATCCTTGTCCAATTGGACTGAGCTGAAATCTAATACATGGGACAAATCATCGTGATAATTCCGGAGCATGGACACATGGAACACCGGATGGATTGATAACAATCCAGGTGGCAATGCAAGCTTGTAGGCCACCTCACCAACCTTCTCAAGAATCTCAAAAGGTCTGATATACCTAGGGCTCAAGTTGCCTTTCTTTTCGAACCTTATCACACCCTTCATAGGTGACACCGGAGCAAAACCCTCTCTCCAATAATGAATGCAACATCACAAACTCTACGATCAACATAACGCTTCTGCCTAGACTAAGTTATGCGAAGTCGATCCTGAATTATCTTGACCTTTTCCAAGGCATCCCGAACCAAATCGGTACCCAACAACCGAGCGTTTCCCGGCTCAGACCAACCAATTGGCGAACAACATCGCCTCCCATAAAAGGGCCTCATAAAGAACCATCTGAATACTCGATTGGTAGTTATTTTTGTAGGAAAACTCCGCAAGCGGCAAGAACGGATCCCAAGAACCCCCGAAATCTATAACACAGGTGCGAAGCATATCCTTCAATATCTGAATGGTGCGCTCGGACTGCCCATTCATCTGGGGTGAAATACTTTACTCAACTCAACCTGCGTACCTAAATCACGTTGTATGACCCTCTAGAAATGCGATGTGAACTGCGTGCCTCGGTCAGAAATAATGGATACTGGCACATCGTGCAGACGAACAATATCGCGGATATAGGTCTCAGCCAACCGCTCTGAAGTATAGGAAACTACTACTAGAATGAAATGTGCCGACTTGGTCAACCTGTCCACAATCACCAATACAACATCAAATTTCTTCTGAGTCTGTAGGAGCCCAACAACAAAATCCATGGTAATGTGCTCCCACTTCCACTCAGGAATCTCAAGCCTCTGAAGCAAACCACCAGGACTCTAATGCTCGTACTTTACCTGCTTGCAGTTCAAACACCGAGCCACATATGCAACTATATTCTTCTTCATTCTTCTCCACCAATAATGCTGCCTCAAATCCTGATACATCTTGGCGGCACCCCGATGAATGGAATACCGTGAACTGTGGGCCTCCTCAAGATTAAACTCAAGAAGACTATCCACATTAGGCACACAAATCTGATCCTGCATCCACAACACCCCATCATCCCCAATAGAAACCTTCTTGGCATCACCGTGCTGCACCGTGTCCTTAAGGACAAGAAAATGGGGTCATCGTACTAAACTCTCTTATGCGCTCATATAAAAAAGACCGAGAAACTGTGCAAGCAAGAGCCCGACTAGGCTCCGAAACATCTAACCTTACGAACTGATTGGCCAAGGGATGAACATATGATGCTAACAGTCTCTCACCAACTGGAATATATGCAAGGCTACACATACTCATAGCCTTTCTACTCAAGGCATCGGTCACCACATTGGTCATCGCAGAATGATACAAAATGGTGATATCATAGTCATTCAATAGCTCTAACCACCTCCGCTACCTCAAATTGAGATCCTTCTGCTCGAACAAATACTGTATTCTTCGATGATCTGTGAATACCTCGCATGACATGTTGTAGAGGTAATTCTTTCAAATCTTCAATGCATAAACAATGGCTACCAACTCTAAATCATGAACATGGTAATTCTTTTCATGAACCTTCAACTGCCATGATGCGTATGCAATCACCGTGTCATCCTGCATCAATACTGCACCGATCCTAATGCGCGTTGCATTATAATATACCGTGTAGGATCCTGAACCTGTGGGAAACACCAACACCGGAGTTGTAGTCAAGGCAGTCTTGAGCTTCTGAAAGCTCAACTCACACTCATCCGACCACCTGAATGGAGCACCCTTCTGGGTCTATCTAGTCAATATGGCTACTATGGATGAAAACCCCTCCACAAATCGGTGATAATAACCCTCCAAACCTAAGAAGTTCTGAATCTCTGTAGCTGAAGTAGGTCTAGGCCAGTTCTGAACTGCCTCAATCTTCTTAGGATCCACTTTAATGCCCACTGCAGATACAACATGTCCCAAAAAGACAATCGAGTCCAACCAAAACTCACACTTTGAAAACTTGGCGTACATCTGACTATCTCTCAAGGTCTGAAGTACCACCCGAAGATGCTGATCATGCTCCTCTTGACTGCGGGAGTAGATCAAGATATCATTAATGAATACGATAAAAAAGAATCCAAATAGGGCTTAAATACTTGATTCATCAAATCCATAAATGCTGTTAGGGCTTTTGTCAAGCCAAATGACATCAGTAGGAACTCATAATGCCCTTACCGAGTCTGGAAAGCTGTCTTAGGGACATCTGATGCCCTAATCTTCAACTGATGGTAGCCAGATCACAAATCAATCTTCGAAAACACTTTGGCACCCTAGAGTTGATCAAATAAGTTATCAATCCTCGGCAAGGGATACTTGTTCTTGATGGTAACTTTGTTCAACTGCTGATAATCTATACACATCCACATCGAACCATCCTTTTTCTTCACAAACAACTCTGGCGCACCCAAGGGCAAGACACTAGGTCTAATGAATCTCTTATCAAGCAAATCCTGCAACTGCTACTTCAATTCCTTCAACTCAGGTGGCGCCATATAGTATGATGGAATAGAACTGGGCTGAGTGCCCAGAGGCAAGTCAATACAAAAATCAATATCCCTGTAGGGTGGCATCCCCGTCAGGTCTGCAGGAAACACTTCTGGAAACTAACGCACAAAAGGTATTGAATCTATGGAAGGAACCTCAGCACCAGAAACACGAACATAGGCCAAATATGATAGACATCCCTTCTCGGCCATATGTCGAGCCTTCACATAAGAAATAACCTTGCTAGTAAAATGGCCAGGAGTCCCCCTACACTCTAATCGGGGCAACCCCGACATGGCTAAAGTCACCGTCTTGGCGTGACAGTCCAATATAACATGATAAGGTGACATCCAATCCATGCTCAAAATAACATCAAAGTCCACCATATCAAGAATTAGGAGATCTACACTAGTCTCAGGGCTCCCGATAGAAACCATACACGAGCGATAAACACGATTTACAACAATAGAATCTTCCACAAGAGTGGACACATATACGCGAGCACTCAAAGAATCACAAGGCATAATCAGATATGAAGTAAAATAGGATGACACTTAGGAATAAGTAGAGCTCGGATCAAATAGAACTGAAACATCTCTATGGCAAACCGAAGTAGTACCTGTGATGACGGCGTCAGATGACTCTGCCTCAGGTCTAGCTGGAAATGCATAAAAAAGGGGCTGGGCGCCGCCACTTTTACCTCCGCCCCTCGGGCGACTCCTAGCTGGCTGACCTCTACCTCTAATGTCCTGACCTCCATCTCTAACAACCTGACCCTTACCTCTAGCTGGCTGTTCGAGCGGTAGAGCAGCCAGTGCTGGCATGATGGCACGAGAACCCTACTGAGGTCTGCTGCTCGACAATCTAAGGCAATACCTCTTGATGTGAC